GCAGCAGCAGCTGCGCCACAGGCTTTAAGTGCTGCGGCACAGAAGTCCCTTCTATGGTGAAGCGCTCCTGCCACTCCCACGGCCACTGTCCCAAACCACCTGCAGCAGCAGCAGCAGCAGCAGCAGCAACAGCAGGGTCGGTGAAGGCTCCTGGTCCAGGGCAGCAGCAACTGCGGCGCCGCAGCGCCAAAGGAAATAACCATCAGCACCTGCTGCAGCAGCAAAACCTACAGAAGTGCACAAGCAGCAGCAGCAGCAGCAGCAGCCGCAGCAGCAGCAGCCGCAGCAGCAGAGGCAGCAGCAGCAGCAGCAGAGGCAGCAGCCGCAGCAGCAGTTAGGTTGCCTTACTGCAGCTGTCTCCAGACTCCGCCGTAAGGGGATCGCGCGTCTGCTCCGTCCTGTCCCTGCGCCAAAACCCTAAACCCTAAACCCTAAACCCTAAACCTCAAACCCTAAACCCTAAATTCGGAGCCCTAGGCGCTACACCGCGGAGTGATGAACCACCCCCCGGCGCCCAAGCTTAGGGTTTAGGGTTTAGGGTTTAGGGTTTACCGAATGAAGAACTCTCTGTAGGTGTCTTGGATTTCTCCCCGCAGCAGCCAGCGCCGCAGGCAGTGGGCCAGGGGGCTCATGGCTTGCTGCTGCAGCAGCAGCAGCAGCTGCCTGGCGGAGTCTCCAGCAGGAAGTCTTGCTGCTGCTGCTTCCACAGCATTGAGGAGGGCCCCGCCCCTGAGCCCCCAGCAGCAGCGGACAGTTTCTGCTGCTGCAGCAGCAAGCGCTGCAGCAGGAGCAGCAGCAGCACGCAAACCCTGCAGCGACAAAGTCCCCTGCCGCACCCCCGCTTCCCAGCAGCAAACCCTAAACCCTAATTCGTTGAGAAACCCCCCAGCAGCAGCAACAAAAGCAGCCCCCACAGCTCCCATTTCTTCGACTCTGCTGCCTGCCACCTGCTGCGCATGCAGCAGCAGCCGCACGTCTGCTGCTGCTGCTGCTAGCTGCTGCAGCAAACACTGGAGGCCCCCTGCTGCAGACCCTGGGGGGCCCCCCTCCTGCTGCAGCAGCGGATGCAGCCACACAGAAAAGCGCGGCAGCGGGGGGAGGCAGCATCTGCTGCTGTTGAGGTCATACTCGTGCTGCTCCAGCAGCTGCAGCTGCTGCTGCTGCTGCTGCTGCTGGCGGGGGCGCGGCTCCGCGCGGCCAGCCTGCTGCAGCAGCAGGTCTTGCTGCTGTTGCTGCAGCGCAGCAAGCTGCTGCTCCTCCTCCCCCTGCAGCGGCTGCTGCACCACCCGCAGCAGCACGCCGTCAACGCCCAGCAGCAGCGACAGCAGCTCTTCCAGCAGCAGCCGCTCCCTTGCTGCATGCGGCAGCAGCAGCCAGTCTGCTGCTAGCTGCTGCGGCCCCCAGTTGACTGCAGCAGCGAAGTCGGGCTCGGGCCTGCTGCTGCTGCGCTGCAGCAGCAGCTCCTGCTGCTCCTCCATGGGCAGCGGCGCCGCCGGCGGCACTGCAGCGGCAGCAGCAGCCAGCCCATGCTGCTGCAGCACAGCAGCCACCGTGCTGCTGCCCCACACTTCTGCTGCTGCAGCAGCAGCATCCCAGGGGCTGGGGGCCAGCAGCGCAGCAGCAAATCTAGACAGCGGAAGGCCGCACTCTGGAAGTCCTGCTTTCTCTATGCGCCAGCCGCAGTGTACGTACACCCCAGAAGCAGCAGCAGCAGCGGCTGCTGCTGCTGCTGCTGCTGCGCGATGCTCAGGCGGGGAGTCGAAAGAGAGAGACCCTACAAGACAAACTCGGCGCTGCAGCAGCTGCTGCTGCTGCTGCAGCAACAGCTGCTGCGGCTTCACTAGCAGCTGCAGCGACAAGAACTCCTGCGTCTTCTGGTTCAGCAGCACTAACTCTTCCCCTTGCTGCAGCAGCACATCCTCGTGCTGCTGCTGCTGCTGCTGCTGCAGCCGCTGCGGCAACATGTGGGCCGGCAGCATTGAGGGGCGCAGCAGCTTCCAGCGCAGGCGCGAGTCTGCTGCTGCTGCTGCTGCTGCTGCCGCTGCTGCTGCTGCAGATCCTGCTGCAGCAGGACATATCTGCTTCGCTACCACTGGCGTCCCAGGGCCCCACTCCTGCCGCGCATGCGTCCTCCTGCTGAGCTCTGCTGCTGCTGCTGCTGCTGCTGCTGCAGGTTCTGCTGCAGTAGAGTATACGACTTTAGGTGTGGGGCCCTGGGGGCCCCCCGCCCCCAGCAGCCACAGAGCTGCTGCTGCTTCCCCCTTTGGGGGCCCCAAAAAGGCGAGCAGCACTTCAGTGCCATGGCTGCAGCAGGAAGGGCCCTGTGTGCTGCTGCTGCTGCTGCTGCTGCTGCTGATTGCTTTGTGGTACGCTGGGTAGGTGGGCAGCAGCAGCAGCTTGCTGCGGGGGCTGCTCGGGAATGGAGGGCTTGCAGACACGACGCATGGGGCCTCTGCTGCTGCTGCTGCTGCTGCTGTGGGTCTAGGCGTAAAGCCGCCAAGGCGACCTGCTGCTGCTGCTGCTGTTGCTGCTGCTGCTGCTGCTGGTGCTTCCTCTACTGTGAGGTACTGGTGGCCTCCCCGCTGCACTGAGACCAAACCCACGGAGCAGTTCAGCAGCACAGGAGAGGCCAGCGGCTGCCGCGGCATTTGCTGCTGCTGCTGCAGCAGCTGCTGCCGCTGCAGCAGCTGCTGCTGTCGCGGCTGCTGCTGCTGCAGATGCTGGCTACTGGCTCAGCTAATGCTACTGTCGGCTAGGCCACAAATCCCGTAGTAGTGCTGGGCCTGATTCTTCCGTTGCTGCTGCTGCTGCTGTTGTTGTTGCTGCTGCTGCTGTTGTTGCTGTTGCTGCTGCTGTCGTCGTTGCCGTTGCTGCTGCTGTTGCAGCAGCAGCAGCAGAAACTTTACAGCAGCAAGACCTTGGGGCCTCCGTGGGCTCACAGGCTCCCCAGCAAACGCGGGAGAGGGGGCCCCTGTATGCGGCTTGTACAGATCTAAACCCTAAACCCTAAACCCCAAACCCTGAACACTTGAACACTAGAACCCTGAGCCTTACATCCCAGACATAGGCCCCCGACCAGTTTAAACCAAGAAGAGAAGAAAAGAAACAACTTTTATTTCTTGCTGTTTTTAACCTGCAGCAGCAGCAGCAGCAGCAGCGGGGCCCCCAAGGCCAAGGGGAGGTGGTGGTTGCTGGGTGGGGTTGTTGTTATTGCAGCAAGTAGCCTATATAATAAACATTAAACATTATTATTTTCAAAGTATTGAATTTAAAATGCTGCATTAGTTATGGTGTGCCCTTCCTGCAGCAGCAGGAGCAGCAGGAGCAGCAGCAGCAGCAACTGCTGCTGCTGCTGTCGTTCGGCAGATGCCAGTATAGCTTGGCTATTTTTTGAAATAAAAATACAATTTAAATTAATTGATGTTCTCAATTTTATTGAATCTTCTGTTTCGCTGGATACAGCGGAGCTGTACAGACACCGCGCGCTTGGCTGTGTCGAGCTCCTGGTCTTCTCGGGCGTATCTCCACCTGCTCCACTTTATCTCCACACATTAATGTCTTGACTGTTTTGAATTTATTTATAATTTATTTGATCATTATTCATTTATTTATTTGCATAAAACCAATTAAAGAAGCTCACGGGCGGCCTGGGCAGAAAGCTCTGTGCAAAAAGAGCAAATAAATATAAATTGGATTTGTTTCATCAGCGAAAAGTGAATAAAGTGTAAATATAAAAGCTAAAACTAATTAAAGTGTAAATTTACATTCTGGTTTTATAAAAAACATTTTAATTCCATTCAAGTTCTTGCAGTTCGTGGCAGCAGCAGCGGCTGCGCTGCTGCTGCACTGAAGGCGAGACCTGCCTATACACCCAAATCAGCAGTGGCCAAAAGTGCAGCACTGCTGCTGCTGCTGCTGCAGCCACAGCACTGCTGCTGCTGCTGCTGCTGCAGCCCCTGTGTGGTTCTGCAGCCACTGCGGGCCGCCCCAGGGCCCTTGCTGCTGCTGGTTAAGAAAACTTTGCTGCAGCAGAAGCACAAGCAAAGCAGTAGCAGCAGCAAGGACACAGAAGCAGCACCAATCGCGGGCCACGCAGCTGCTGCTTGTGTTGCTGCAGCAGCAGCAGCAGCTGGTGCTGCTGCTACTGCGTCTTGCAGCGTTGCTCCTTGGCTGCTGCTGCACGCAGACTGCACCGGTAGATAACTAGAGCTGCTGCTGGTGTTGCTTCCAAAGGAGCAGCAATAGCGGGAGCAGCAACAGCAGCAGCAGCAGCTGCTGCTGCTGCTGCTTCGTGCCCCCTGGAAGACTCAGTCGGATTCATAGGCCTCTCTCTCCTGCTGCTGCTGCTGCTGCTGCTGCTTCTTCCGTTTGTGCTTTTTGCGTTTCTTGCGGCGCTTTCTATCGTGGGAGTTTTCTGAGTCGCTGCTGCCTTCGCTGCCCTCTGCTGCTGCTGCTGCTGCTGTTGCTTCTTGCTCTGCTGCTGCTGCTCCACCTAACGCATCGGACTCTTCTTCGTCAGTCTCGAAGTCGCGGGGACGCTTCAGTAAGTGGGTTGGTGGATCTGCTGCTGCTGCTGCTGCTGCTGCTTGGCTCTGTGATGCAGTAGCTGCTTCGGCTCCATTTGCTGCTGCTGCAGCTTCCTCTCCATCTTCTGCAGCTTCTGCTGCTTCGCCTCCATCTTCTGCTGCTGCGGATATTTCGTCCCCATCAGCTGCTGCTGATGCTGCGTCTCCATCTGCTGCTGCAGCATCGTCCCCCTCTGCTGCTGCTGCTGCTGCTGCTTCATCCCCATCTGCTGCTGCTGCTGCAAAGTCGGTGTCATCTTCGGGGTCCCGAGCAGCCAGCCGCAGCAGCCTGCGAGCCTTTTTCTTGCTGCTGGGGCGTTCCTCTTGCTGCTGCTGCTGCTGCTGCTCCGCTGCTGCTTCTGCGTCTTCGTCTGTTGCAGCGTCGCCCTCCTGCTCCCTGTTGCTGCTGCGCTTCCTCTTCTTTTGCTTCTTTTTCTTTTTGCTGCTGCTGCTGCTGCTGCCTTTGCTTCTGCGGTGTCTCGGCAGCTCGTCATCTGCTTCGCTCAGGGCCCCTTCTATTGAGTCATCAATGAAGTTGTCAGTTTCTTTTTGCTTCCGTTTTTGCTGCTGCTGCTGCTGCACTCCTCTCCGCTGCTGCTGCTGCTGCTGCTGCTTCAGGTTCTCGGGGGCCGGGCGCAGCGGCAGCGAAGCAGCAATTTGCTTGGCCTCTTCCGCTAGCTGCTGCTGCACCTCCCTCTCCTGCAGCAGCAGCTGTTCCTGCTGCATGCGCCGCTGCTCCTCCTGCTGCTGCTGCAGCAGCAGCTGCTGCTGCTGCCGCTGCTGCTGCTGCTCCCGCTGCTGCGTCAGCCACCGCAGCTCCAATATTGGCATCATTCTATTTATATGATGCAGCACTCTATCTCTAGAAACTTGATGGGGCCCCGCCTGTGCATGCGCAGCAGGAACTTCTTCAATACCTTCTGGGGGCACCACCACAACTGTGGGGCCCCCCAGGGGCCCCCCTAGGGGCCCCGCGGGGGGCCCCCCTGGGGGGCCCCCTGGGGGGCCCCCGCTGAGGCCTGCTGCTGCTGCTGCTGCTGCTGCTGCTTCTGATTTTGCTGCTGCTGAGCCGGATGGGGGCAGCGGCCGGCCGTCGCTGTTGTAGCAAAAGGGGAAACCTGCTGCTGCTGCTGCTGCTGCTGCTGCTGCTACCAGGGGCTTCGGGCCCTCCTCTCCCCCCAATATAGACAATGGGCGGAACTCTGCGGACACCAAACCCTAAACCCTAAACCCTAAACCCTAGTCGTCCAGTACCCCGACAGAAGAAAACGAATTAATGCAGATTTGCAGGCGGCTTGAAAAGGGTTTAGGGTTTAGAGCCGCTGCTCCGTGATGTGCTAGGGTTTAGGGTTTCTAGCCTCCGCCGTTTACTTCTCTAGGGTTTAGGGTTTGCCGCTTGTGTCATCCATGAAATTTAGTCCTAGGGTTTGCTGCTTGCGGCCTTTCGTGCTTTCGCGGTATTAGGGTTTACTAGGGTTTAGGGTATAGGGTTTGGCGAGCTGGTTTTTGAGGCTAGAGGGGTCAAAACACGCGTCTAGGGTTTAGGGTTTAGGGTTTGCCTAGTTTGGCCTGGAGTCTGAGGGGAGCGCTGAGAGCTTGGCTAGAAGGGTCGAAAATGGCTTTTATTGTTTTGCTTCGGCGAGAAGAAAAGAGCAGCAACTCAGTGACGTGTTTCACGAGGTGTACGAACACCGCAGACTCCAGCTGCCCCCGAAGCCCCAGCGCTTTCGTTTGGAAGCAGTCGCACAGAAAACCCTGAAACCGCAAACCACAAATTAGGGTTTAGGGTTTAGGGTTTGGGGGCACTTAAGAGGGATAAGGAGAAAAAAGGGACTCCGAGGGTTTGAATGGAGAGAAAGAAAAAGAATTCCGAGGGTTTGGAGAAGTAAAGGAAAGAACAAAAAGGGGAGTTGAAGGGATCTAAAAGAAAAGAATTGAAAAGAGAATTAAACAGAATTAAAAAGACAAAATGACAAAAGAATCCAAAAAATAAAATGAAAAAACACGAAAAGCTGAATGGCAAAAGAAAAAGAGCAAAAGGAGTTAATGGCCGTTAATTAAAAGAAGACAATACAAACAAAAAGGGGCGAAAAAGGGGTATAAAACCCTAAACCCTAAACCCTAAACCCTAAACGCTAAACCCTGAAATCTGCCCCAAGACAGAGAAATGCAAATCCCATAATCTCTGGTGTCTGGCCATCCACGTTCTGCAGCCGTCTCTCGACTTTAGGGTTTAGGGTTTAGCGTCTGGGGTTTAGGGTTTGGGGTTTAGGGTTTAGGGTTTACAATGTTGTATACGAAGCGGACGTCTCGCGGCCACCGCCTCTGGGCAATTTGCATCAACTCAATGCCCGCCATGAAAAACTGCGGCATAAACCCTAAACCCTAAACCCTAAACCCTA